CAGAAGAAGAGGGCGGCGCGCGCCCCGGCGAGCTGCGCGAGATGTGGGGGAGCTGCAATGAAGGACACGCGAGGAAGAGGGAGACCGGCCAATGTTCCGCCGGTGCCCCGGACCCAAACGTTTCCCTTAGAGAAAGGGGTTGGGGATGGGTTCATGGGTGGAGCGATAGTGACACACGTGCACACACACGCGCGCGCGCACACACACACACAGAGAGAGAGAGAGAGAGAGATGGAAGAGGAGACGGTAGAAGACACACACACACACAGAGAAAGGTATGGTTGGAAGAGGTAGTGGAGTGCGGTGGTGAATAAATAGGGGCTTTCGAGGTAGGTGGGTGGGATGAATGAATGTCGATCTTTGATCAGTAGCTATGGTAATTGTGGTAAAAAGAATCCACATACTTTCAATGATTTTGCTCATATGCATTCTGTCCCTCCATTGACCTTCATTCATCATGTTCATAATGTTGATCGACCTGGCTAGTCTGGAGAACTCCAAGGGCAAGGAGATGGTTGTGGCCGACAAGAAGGGCAACGCGGTGGTGGAGCTCGGCAGCGCCCCTAAGCGGCCGAAGAATACGACCATTTGTATGAGGACGCCAGCCCAACCCACTTTTGCAATGTCATCCTTGCATCCAAACTGGAGTGCCTGCCAATGTCGCTTGAGTTCACCAATCACTTCATCCTTGTCCCAGAGGAATTCAAGCTGATGACAAACACCGGCTACGCCTGAAGGGTGACGGTTTAGATGATCAATGGCAGGCTCGTGTTTGATAAGGGTAGGCCCCCCTTCATCACCGTTCACCAGATCAAGACCGGGTACCTCGTCACCATCAAGCTGGCGACTCCCAACACCTTGAAGATGATCGTCTTCAACGACGACGATGTCAAGGTGGTGACCAAGTGCAAGAAGCACGAGGAGGCCTTTGCCATGGATGCCTAAAATATTATCTCTGCACCTAAGACTTTTGCATAGGATGTTTCAGACTTTGCCGTGACCATTTTATCGTTTAACTGTGTGTTTAAGACTCCGGCTTATGAGTTTATGCTATGCCTATTTTATCTATATAACCAAACATGTATTGCATGTAACCAAACACCACATACTTTGCATCTGCTAGAACAAGTCTGCAACCAAACACCACCGTGCATGTGTTTCCTCGCAGCCAGGCTGGGAAGGATGTAGACAAACACATATGTTAGGGGGCAAAAATCGGTGCATGTTACCAGACACGCTCAATACAACACAGACGAACACTTCGAAGGAGCCGAGAGCTCATCTGAGGTATGCTCGGTTGGTAAAACAAGTTGCATTCCAAACGGGAAATATGTTCTTTATTCACATTCTGCAAGTAAACACATATAAACTGCAATAGTACAGTGTGTCCGCTTCAGACCACGAGACTGTAAGACCACCTGTGATCTGCCCCCTGTCAGGCTCAACTAAACTCCAAGCTTGATCCTAGGGCATGCCAGGCATTAGGGTTCGCACAAGGCATACATACAATGATGAGACGAAGCGGGCATTCACTACATTAGCCATAACCGACATGATTAGTTAAGGAGAATTACACTAAGATTCTAGATCACCAGGCGACGCCGTCAGACCAGACCGTCAGGGGCCTCGGTACTGACGGAAGCAGGCGAAGCACCCCTGCGACTGGTCTATCGGGATCATGCCGCCGCCCTTGGACGTGTCGATGGCCTCTATCATGGCCACCACCTCGGCCATCTCGGGCCGCTTGTCGGGGTTCGCGTCCCAGCACCGCTTCATCACGTTGGCCAAGGCGCTCGGACAGCACCGCGGTATCTCCGGCCTCAGGTTCTGCACACCAGCGATGCTTTTTTGTATTATTATGTTATACTCCACAGTCCACAAGGAGTATAATATATGTATGTTTTCGGTGGTTCAGACTTCAGACGTCAGAAACAAGAGCCTAGCAACGCCACAAGGAAAGGAAACATTTTTTACCTGGCGGACAACGGCAGAAGTTACTTCTGAGAAGCTGAGGTCAGGATATGGCATGTCGCAGCAGTATATCTCCCATAAGCAGATTCCAAAACTATAAACATCGCATTTCCTGTTGTAAGGATGACCATTCAGGACCTGCACATAGATAGATGCCGGCATTTATAAGCCATCGTGATGCCACCATCACGCTCCCTCTGTCCCATATTAGTGGTCGCTCAAACAGATGTATCTAGCATTAAAATACATTTAGATACATTCATTTTAACGAAAACTAATATCAGATGGAGGTAGTACTATCCAGTGCTCCAAAGGCGAAACAAAGAAATGCAACACGGCCCAACTTAAGACATATCTGATACTTTGGTCTAATAAATAGGGTAATATTTCCAGATGGTTAATACCTCAGGTGCCATGTAACCAAGTGTGCCCGTTTCACCCGTCATGTCACTAGGGTTTGAAGCCTCGACTCGAGCAACCCCAAAATCAGCAATTTTCACGGTTCTTGTTTTGTCGAGAAGCATATTTTCAGTCTTCACGTCACGATGCACTATCTTCTCCGAGTGAAGATAGCTTAATCTATTCAAACGTAAAGGCAGCAATGAGACCTTCCCAAACGGAAGGGACATAATAGAAGAACTTCGCAGAAAACGATCAAGAAGAACAAAACCAAACAATTACTTACCCCCTGGCAAGGTCAAGAGCTAGTTGGACCACAACTTTAAAGGCTAGCTTCCTTCTCCTATTTTTTATCAGGAAATTTTTCAGTGCACCACCAGCAAGGTACTCAACAACAACACAGCAGATATTACTCGGCATGCCAAGATGCCCATGTTCTGTCTGTACATTTAGATCTCTTGCACCCATTATAGCCCCAATAAACTGTCAGTTCAAGTTCAACATATTGTTAGGACAGCCAGTTGACAAGTATAATAAATCTACATTCGCAAAGTGAATATATAAAAGTCTCAATATAAAATAATAACACCTCTTTATAATCCACAATGAGATGGATATATTGCAAAATTAGAGCCTCCTATAGTTTTTTTATATAGAATGCTTACCATATGCTACACCAAAATAGGAGCACATCAAACCCTAAACCCTAAACCAAATTTTTCACTAGTGTTGACAAAGTCAATTAATATTCGGATATACAAAGGTTCTAATGTTCTGTGTCAGGGGTCAAGAAGTGAAAAATTATGGAACTTCTTTTACGGGAATAATGATGTCATGAAGAGAAAAGCATGTAAACTTTGATAATGATGCCATGCCTTGAATAAATTATGGAACTTCTTTTACGGGAATTATATGACAACTAAGAGCGCAAAATAGCTAGCAATAGTCAACTACTTATCATTATGATGACGCATATCTAGCTAGCCATGGGAACATAAGCCCATCGCCAAAAAAAGGAAACATAAGCGACACCAAAGGGATAACTGGCCACATAATTCAACATATTGTTGTAGCATGTGGATCGTGTATGTTAAAAGGAAGGTTGCCCATGTGGTATGGTGGACCATATTGGAGAACACTTTCAGCATGTAACCCATGCAGTCATTGTTTTATGAAATAAACATGGATGTAAATTGATTTGATGTAAACTTTATCAGGAAAATTTACCTATGAATTTTGAAAGGGGCGGGAAAAGGACTTCTTCAGCCAAAGCCTACCTTCGTAACATTTGGATGATCAAGCTTATGCCACACAGCAACCTCTTGTGCAAACGCTGATCTTAGTGCCGTAATTTCTTGTTCTGATCTATGACCATCCTCCCCCCAGTCAAGCAACTTCACTGGAATACAGAGTTAAATAGTTATTTTCAAAATGAAAGTTGCAATAGTAAATTTAATTTTGCAGAGGGATTGAGACATGGCAGGTTATACTAGCGAAATTCAAATCTCAAATAGTAGGTTATCAGTTGCTAAGGACCAAAGGTGACGCATTATTCATGAACAAAATGCATTTAGTGCATTGAGAAGAGTATTGGCTGTCATGTTGAACAACAAGTCTTTGAAGAAAATTCAAAAAAACAATTCTTTAAAGAGTGTATATCAATACCAGTCACAGCTTCATGTGTGGTGTGGAAAACCAGATCAAAGAGATTCCACTTAAGTGCTTAACATGCAAATGAAAGACAATGGCAGATTCAAATGTCTGGGACAGCCATGGAATGTGATAACCGACAAACTATTCACTGGTTTCAGCAAAAAAAAATGTAGTAGAAAAAGGGCAAAACGAGCCAGTCGATAACTTCAATGAGTTAGTAATTGCTTTGACAAGTTGCATTTTATGAAGCTAAATGAGGATTTTATTGTTTTTGCAACAGACCGAACTGAATTTCCTGGTGGCACAATGCAGTAGGTGATAAAGTTGTGGACAGGCAAGCACGTTGCATTTGCTTCGTCCCGTGTCATGTGATTATGCCTGGTGAGAGAGTGCAAAACCAGATGTTCTGGCTCAGATGCTTCTCAATTCCTGGTCCCTGGAAAGTACCAGGTCCGTTGCAAGTTGCAACCTTTTTGCCTAAAGGACCAGCTGTTCTGATTTGTTATCTCCAACTTCCAGGGGCTCATCATAAGGCTAACACATGAATCATGCCTACTAAAACTTTAAGTTGGTTGGTTCGAATCACATGAGGAAGGTTACACAGAAAAGGCGGACTTAGCAACCCCAAGTCACGGAACACACCGTGGAATCCAGGAAAGCAGAGGCATCAACTTTAGCAATTTGCTGACAAGGAAACGCACTGGTGACATGACCGGCGAAAATAACTCGGAAAAGTAAATGGCATTGCCATCGATCGATCAACTCATTCTGCATTCTGCATCCTAGGCCAAAAAAATCGTGTACGGGGAGAAAAATAAAGAAGCAATGTTTACCAAGAACTTGCAAAACGAATGATGGATCAGAAACAACAAGTATCTAACGCGGCCAACACTAAGTGGCACTGTAATTTCATCGAGCAGCTTACGGGCACTGAAATTGGCAAGTAGTGTAGGCGTAAATGTGAAGTTGAGATGGTACGATACCGGCAACGTCCTGGCCGTCATAGACGCCGCGGTGGACGGTGCCGAAGGTGCCGCGGGCAATGACGCCTTTGATGACGAGCTTGGCGGGGTCGACCTCCCAGTCCTCCCGGCGGCGCCGCTGCTGCGGCGGCGGCGGCTGTGGCTCCCCCAGCCTCGCGGACCCGCCGCGGCGGCTCCCTGGCTGCACCACGGCTGGCGCGTCCCGCTCCTGGCGGCTGAGGTGGCGCTCCAGTTGCTCGTCGAGGCTCTTGAGGTCGATCTGGTCCGCCCGCACGAACCCTGCGTCCCCGCTCCCGCCGCCGCCTGCGCCTGGAAGCCTCATGCTTGGAGCACGCCCGAGGAGTCGGGCACGCGGCGAGGTTGCGGCGATCGTATGGGTGGGCGTGGAAGGCGTCTGGTGGTACGGATGCCGCCGCGAGGAGTAGTCTGTGGACTATGCTGGCTGTGCTATAGACTAGGTGATGGCGAGGCAGAGGTGGCTCGTATTCCTGCGCGAGGCTCCATGTGAGCGCATGGAAGTAGGCAGGCACGGGGGAAGTGACCAGCAGCGAGTGAGGAGGAGAGGACTCGTGTCGTGGAACCCACCTGAAGTCCTTGGCATGTACTCCCTCCGTAAAAAAATAATATAAGAGCATTTAGATTATTATTTTTCAAGAATACGTCAACGGCGTATCATATTTTTACGAAAACACTAACGCCCACACGTGTGGGCGTTTGGCAACTCGCCCACACGAATGAATCCTCGTCCAACCAATTTTGCATGAATCTTGGTGCGTTTTAGCCTTTTTTGTGCCATGTAGGACTAAGCTGGTGTGAGGTATTCATCTATCCACCCACACGTCCTTTTTCACCACACGGGGGGCTGGTGTGTGGGCGTTTAACAATTCGCCCACACACACCAATTTTCACGCACGCAGAGGGGGCTGGTGTGTGGGCGTTTATCACTTCGCCCACACGCCCATCTCCTCGCCCACACCCAAAGCTGGCAGTTGCCATGTGTTTCTGCAGGGTACATGGCAACTGCACTAACTTTGCTTGTAAGCAGATGGCAACTTTCTTTTTACCCGAGTTGCCATGTATTTTTTTGCATGGTACATGGCAACTGCTCTAGCGTGCACGTAAGCAGATGGCAACTCTTTTTCTTTACATGGCAACTGCCCTAGTGTGCTTGTGAGCACACAACAACTCTCTCTTTTATCCGTACATGTTTTTTGGCCATGCCTTTTTTAGTGCTACACGGCAACTGCCTAGTGTTAGTGGATGGCAACTCCTAAAATTTTGAAATCATGGCAACTGCAGTAGACCAGACCATACAGGGCAACTGCAATTGAGCAACCATGGCAACTGTAGTTGTCCGACGTGGCAACCGAAGTTCAGCGACATGGCAACTACAGTTAAACGAACATGGATGAGGGTCTGGACCATGGCAACTGTGGGACGCGCGGTGACTGTCACGCGGGGCGTGCGGGTCCACGAGGTACGAGGCCTGACGTACGGGGCGTGTGGGCGTTATCTATTTCGCCCACACGCACGCGTGTGAGAGGGATCGGGAAGGAAAAAAGAGGTGTGTGGGCATTACTTGTTTTGTCCACACATAGATGTGTGGGCTATTCCTCTTATACACCACACAAAATGTGTGGGCAAACCCCTAACGCCCACATGTGTGGCACTTATCGGCGTCCTATTTTTATAAAAGGTAGAAAGAGTATTTACAAGAAGTGTCACCCAATTGCGCATAATCGGGTGAGACACAAACCCCAACTCCTACACCTACAAAATACACTCTAGGCTACTCTCTCACAAAGCGTTATAGTCCTCCAACTCCGCCAGCCGCTTGCTTCCATTCTGCCAGTTCTACAAGGATCATCGTGGCCACCTCCCTTGGCCTCCTTTGTTGCTCCGTCCTGGTGTACATCCTCGCATTCCTTTGCTTCCAAAGGGCCCATATTGTCGCGATGAATAGGGTATCGAAGCCTCTCTTCTCCGTTCTATGGTACTTTCCCCTCTCTCTGAGCCACCATTGCAACGCTGTGTCATTCGGTGATGGGTCATTTACATCTATGTGGATAGTACCCCAAATGATACACCAGACCTCCTTCGCGTAAGTGCAACGGGACAAAGTATGATTGCAATCATCTTGGTCTTGCAAGCACGTGTAGCAAGGGGAGGGCTCGTCTTGCAGACCATGCTGTGCGCGCCGGTCCGACGTCCAGAACCTGTATTGCATTGCCAGCCATGCATAGATCTTGCACCCAAGTGGTGCCCAGCTCCTCCAGATGCATTTTGCCATCGACGATCTCGGCAAGGTTGAGCAAAGGCTTTTGTACACCGAGCGGGGCGGAGTATTGGCCTGAGGCCGAGCATGTCCAGCTGAATTTGTCCGGCGCCTCTATGTTCCTCCACACCGCGCCAATGGCCTGGCACAAGTGCATGCACTGCAACTAGGCCATGAATGAAGCTTTCGGTTGACAGTCAGCCACCCATCTGTTTCCCTATAACGCTTGCTGCACTGTGCGCATGTTAACGATTCTAGTTTGCACTGTAGCAAGAGCCAGCGGCGCAATATCCGCCACAGCTAGTCCGCTGATCCACCGATCACGCCAGAACATGACGCTATCTCCCTTGCCCACCTCTATCCGCACGAGTCTGTCGAACATCGCCTGGGCTTCTCTGTCTTCTACCATTGGTAGTCCCTGCCATGGCCTATGTAGATCAGTCCTCTGAAGCCACTCCCATCTGACCCTTACTGCCATTGCTTGCAGCTTCATGTTTTTGATTCCTAGTCCACTGTAGCATTTGGGTCTACAGATGGTATCCCATGCGACAAGGCACTGCCCCCCATTCACCTTCTCCTTGCCAGCCCAGAAAAAAGATCTCATCCACTTGGTTATCTCCTCAAACACCCAAGCCGGAGCATCCACGACCATGAGGTGATGCAAAAGCCTTGCCGAAATCACCGATTGGACAAGAATGAGTCGGCCAGGGCGCTGTATCATTCCTCTCTGCCAAGCTGGAAAGTAGTGCCGCACTTGGTCCAACATGGGTTGCCAATCGGCCCTTGTGAGACTCTTAACAACTAGCTGGAGTCCGAGGTACTTGCAAGGGAATTCCGCCAGTTCGCATTGCAGTAAGTTTGCCACCCTTTTCTTATCCTCCAGGTCTCCTCTTATCACTACCGCCGATGATTTCCGGTAGTTTACATGAAATCCCGAGGCCTCCCCAAAAGCACCAAGCGCCGCTCTGACAAAGTCAAGATCTTGGGTCATAGGTTTGATGAACAGGACCACGCCATCCGCGTAGATCGAAATCCTTTGTACTACTACCCATGGTATGGAGCTTAGCACTCTCTGTTCTAGGGCCTTTTGCACCATTTTCGTGAGCACATCCATTGCCAATATGAATAGCATAGGGGAGATGGAGTCCCCTTGGTGCAGTCCACAAGCATGTCCAAAGCTCTTTCCTCGTACTCCATTTACTATCACCTTCGTGCTTGCAGTTTGCAATAAGGTTGCCACCCAAGACCTCCATTTCAGTCCAAATCCCTTGGTTGTCATGACCTCGAAGAGAAACGGCCAGGACAGCGAGTCAAAAGCACGTGATATGTCAAGCTTGAGAAACACTCCTGGGGCCTTACATGCATGGATCTTGCGGGCTACTTGTCTGACTAGCAAGAAGTTGTCGTGTAGATGTCGCCCCTTGACGAACGCTGATTGATTTACCTCCACTATCTCAGGTAGTTGTTTTTGTAAGCGGTTTGCAAGCACCTTGGCGAAGAGTTTTGGTATACTATGAATTAGGCTGATGGGTCGGAAGTCTCCAATATCCTCTGCCTCCGGCTTCTTGGGGATGAGGATAATGTGTGCCTTGTTTAACTTTGCCATGCTATGGTCTTCCCCTACATAGAACTTCATCATGGCCGCCATAACATCCCCCTTGATGGTTGGCCAAGCCCTCTGGTAGAACGCGGCAACAAAGCCGTCGGGGCCCGGCGCCCGGTCCGATGGCAGTTCCCTAATCACTCCCCAAACCTCCTCTTATGTAATCATCTCCTCTAGAGCGATCAAGTTATGTTGCCGAACTCCCAGGAACTGGAGGTCAAGAGAGTGTTCTCTCACTCGATCCCTTCCTAGTAGATTCTCATAGGCTTGATAGAACGCCTCCTCCTTGAGCTTCTGATCCGTGATGATCTCCTCCTCACGTCTAATATGTGGGATGAAGTTTTTTGTTCTCCGTCCGTTTGCCATCGCTTGAAAGAGTTTTGTGTTCGTGTCCCCTTCCTTTAACCACCTCATACGCGACCTTTGACAGTCTATTGTGCGCTCCAGCGTCGCGAGTCCTAGCAAGGCATGTTTCAGCGTGCGTCGCAGCCAAGTCTTCGGCCTCTCGAGTGGCCGCTGCTCCTATGTCATGTCTAGCCTATGAATTATCCACGTGGCCACTCACATGAGTAGCTTGACGTTTCCAATCTTCCGCTGCCCCCATGCTTGAAGATAGATGGTTGTGTTTCTTAGTAGGTTGTCCAGGCATTTGTATGAGTTCACAATCTCCGGGTCACACACCCTCCTGGACGGCCTCGTCAAAGCCATCCAACTTCATCCAGAACATCTCGAGTCTGAATCTTCTTTTCATGCAGAAACCAGCGCTCGTAGTCAAGAGGAGCGGGGCATGGTCCGAAACCCCAGTCGACAGTGCTTGTAGGAGGCAGTCTGTGTTCTCCAGCTCCCAATCCATCGAGGTGAGGATGCGATCAATCTTTGTCAGAGTAGGGGCGTCTGATACGTCCATTTTGCATCATGTTTTCTTACTGTTATTTACAATGTTTTTATCCATAATAATGCTTTTTGGAGTAATTCTAATGCCTTTTCTCTCATAATATGCAAGGTACATACAAAGAGGGAGAATCCTAGCAGCTGGAAATCTGGACCTGGAAAAGCTACATCAGGCCACCTATTCTGCACAACTCAGAATGAGCTGAAACTTCACGGAGAATTTTTATGGAATATATGGGGAATATTGGAGCCAACAAGTACCAAAGGGGGCGTGCGAGGGAGCCCAGGCGCGCCCTGGTGGGTTGTGCTCACCCAGGCCCACCTCCGGTGCCCATCTTCTGGTATATAAGTCATTTTGACCTAGAAAAAATAAGGAGAAGACTTTCAGGACGGAGCACCGCCGCCTTGAGACGGAACTTGGGCAAGAGCACTTTTGCCCTCCGGCAGAGCGATTCTGATGGGAGAACTTCCCTCCCGGAGGGGGAAATCATCGGCATCGTCATCACCAACAACTCTCCCATCTTGGGGAGGGCAATCTCCATCAACATCTCCTCTCAAACCCTAGTTCATCTCTTGTGTTCAATCTTGTTACTGGAACTATAGATTGGTGCTTGTGGGTGACTAGTAGTGTTGATTACATCTTGTAGTTGATTACTATATGGTTTATTTGGTGGCAGATTATATGTTCAGATACAATATGCTATTTAATACTCCTCTGATCATGAGCATGTTTATCATTTGTGAGTATTTACTTTCGTTCTTGAGGTCACGGGAGAAATCATGTTGCAAGTAATCATGTGAACTTGATATGTGTTCGATATTTTGATAGTATGTATGTTGTGATTTCCTTAGTGGTGTCATGTGAACGTCGACTACATGACACTTCACCATATTTGGGCCTAAGGGAATGCATTGTGGAGTAACAATTAGATGATGGTTTGTGAGAGTGACAGAATCTTAAACCCCAATTTATGCGCTATTCCGTAAGGGACCGATTGGATCCAAAAGTTTAATGCTATGGTTAGAATTTATTCTTAATACTTTTCTCGCAGTTGCAGATGCTTGCGGGAGGGTTAATCATAAGTAGGAGGTTTGTTCAAGTAAGAACAACACCTAAGCACCGCTCCACCCACATATCAAATTATCAAAGTAGCGAACACAAATCGAACCAACATGATGAAAGTGACTAGATGAAATTCCCGTGTACCCTCAAGAACACTTTGCTTATCATAAGAGACTGTTTTGGCCTGCCCTTTGCCTCAAAAGGATTGGGATACCTTGCTACACTTTTGCTACTACTATCGCTACTTGCTCGTCATAAATTATCT